CTCTCTCTCTCTCTCTCTCTCTCTCCCTCCCTCCCTCCCTCCCTAGAATAGTAAATGAAGGGGCTCCTTGGTGGCTCAGTCAATTAAATGTCCAACTTCAGTTCACTCATCATCTCATGGTTTGTGGGTTCGAGCCCCACATCTGGTTCTGTGCTACAACTGAGAGCCTGGAGCCTGCTTCAGATTCTCTGTCTCCCTCTCTCTCTGCCTCTCACCCACTTGCGCTCTGCCTTTCTCTCTCTCAAAAATAGACATTAAAATTTTTTTAATATTTTAAACGAATAAATAGATAAAATTGTAAAGTATATGAGTGCTATTTTCAAAGGAGAAAAATAAGTTATTAAAAAAAGCTTTTAATAAGCTATTTTTTAAAGGACAAAATCAGCTTCTTCCCATGAAGCCTTCTCTGAAGTCCCCAAGTGGAGTTAGATGCCTCCTCTTTGTTGACATTGTCGACTCTAGTCATAGCCATGCTATAACACATGGATCTAACCATGTTATAATACATCGATCTAACTCACTAGACTTACCATCTGTGTCCCATTCGTTTTATTTCTTTAGCACCCTAACCTTCAAATGGTAACACTCAAACAGTGTTTCCTGAATGGGATGAACATTGGTGAAAATGCAAGATACAAAGACGAATGAACAGTGTCAAAGGGAAGTTTAGGATTAAAAGACAAGGACCACAGATATTAAGAAGGGAGTGATCCCTCAGGATTGGTTGGGGAAGGTGGTCAAGGTCTGAGAGAAGAGGAGGTATTGAGTTAGGCCCGCCATGACTGAAATGCCAGGTAGAGTTTGCTATGAATAAAGGTATAGAGGTTGGGATGTACAAGAAATCTGTTTTTTTTTCTTTTTCTTTTCCAATTGTAAAACAAAGTAAGATGTTTTTATTTATTTGACACATAGCATAAATTTTACCATTTTAACCATTTTTAGGTGCACAGTCTGTGACATTACGTACATTCACATTGTTGTGCAACCATCACCACCATCCAGCTCCAGAACTTTTTCATCATCCGAAACTCAAACTGTACCCATTAAACAACTCCCCATTCACCCCTCCCCACCACCAGCCTTTGGTAACTGTTCTACTGTTCTGTCTCTATGAATTTGACTATTCCAGTACATTCTATAAGTAGAATCATATAATATTTGTCCCTTTGTGTCTGGCCTCTTTCACTCAGCATAATGTCTTCATGGTTGTGTAAGAAATGTTTGAGGGATTGACTTGATGGCACAGGGGATTCAAATGAAGGAATACAGAAGAGGACGGAGAGAAAACTGGAAAGGTACCTTGTGGCCAGATTGTAAAATGCCTTGAATGCAAACCTAGGTAGCTGCTATAGTG